ACCCCCCCACCCTTCCTGCAGAACAAGAGCTGGATTCTATCTTGGATCCCCTGCCCAACGGGGAAGCCCTCATTCCTGTCTGGATCAGAATACAGGGAGGGAGGGAAGAGCTGTTCAGCTTTGGGGGGCAGTCAGGTCAACCATCCAACACCTCAGAATGAAAACTGGTTCCTATTGTTTCCCGGGCCCCATTTAAGCTCTCCTCCCGGCCCCTCCTCTCCAGTTTCTAAGCTCGATTTAACTAACACTCCTCCAACCAAACTAGCTGGGGCGGAGGGCAGCTGCGTCCTCTCCCCCAGCCTGACCCCCACACGTGTGGGGCTTCACGTCCAGCCAAGGAGGGAGCCTGGCTCACTAGCCCTCAGAGCTACCGCCTCTCCCTGCCTCCTCCCCCCATACCTTCCCCACCCAGTCCCTCCTGACCCGGAGGCCCCTCTCCACCGCCCCTCCCCAGCGCCAGTCCCGGCGGCCAACGAAGACCCTCATCTCTTTCCTTCTTCCAGGCAAAGAGGGCTGGGAGCTCAGGGGCGGCTGGAGGGGCGCTTCCACGTAGGAAAACCAGAAGGGGCAGCTTTGGGAGGGGCTCAAGGAGGGGAGGGAGGACCCTAAGAGCGGTGGGTAAAATAAAAAATAAAATAAGAAATAACAGCAGAGGATCTCCACCCAGAGGCGGAGGTGGCGCAGCAGAATGGATTTCGCTTCCCCTCCCCCAGCGGCGTCAGTTGCGGGCCAGTGAATTTCTTCATCTGACATCCCCCCCAACCAGGCCAACCGGCGCCGACGTCGCGTCTGCAAGTGATTGTGAGTCCAGCAGGAATGCCCAGGAGGGAGCTGCCTCCGGCCAGCAGAGTGCCCACTCGCTCCCAGGATGTGGCCGGCCCCTCCCGCGCCCTCCACACCCAGGCGAGGAGGAGCGCGCTGGGTCCTTCAAAGAGATGGAGGAGTGTGAGGCTGCACTCACTCCGGGGAGGATGCCAGCCAGCCTCCTCCACCCCAAGAGCCAGCCAAGAATGTGAGTGAGCGTGTGCGACGGGAGAGCGGGAGGGACAATCCAGCCTTAATGTCTCCCTCTTCAGCCCCAAGACACTCAGGGACGCTCCTCCCCTGGACGCCTACGACCAGCCCCCCACCACGGAGCGCCCACCAGCCCCCCTGCACCAGCCTGGAAATTGCAAACTTTCCAACGCCACCTCCTCCCCTTTCTTCCCTCTGGGACCAGAGCTGCACGGGGCGTTGCCCTCGGAGACACTCACACAGTTGGTTCTTGACTCTTCGCACACAGTCAAACAACAGGGCGCAGGGAACTCTCAGCTTTTCCACAGCTAATTATAGACGTGAAAGTCTGAGGATGTTTTGCAAGTGGCAGAGAGAAACTGCTGAGGTTTCTCCACAAAGCCGAAGAAATTCCATTTGGGCACCCCTTCCTCACCCCACTTCTCCCGGCTACCTCCCCGCCCCCCCTCCAGTGCGCCCATCTCCCAGTCCCCACCGCAGCCCCTCCTTCTCGTTGCAGATTTCTTACTCCGTTCTTTTTTCCTTTTTTTTTTTCCATCTCTCTTTGGGGCTTTCGAGAAAGGGAACAGACGCGGAAAATATTTTTGCAAGTTTTCCATTCAGCGGCTCATTCCCAAGCCGAGGGGGAGCGGGAGGGGGAGGGCAGGAGCAGATGGGGGCAATGAACTGTTTTTTCCAAAAGCTCCATTTGGGTGTGAAAAGGACAATCCCTCCATTTCCCTACCCCCACGGCCCAGGAATGACAGACACTAGGAAAAGAAAAATAAGTCACTTGTTTGATTATACGATTTCTCAGAACCGAGTTTAGGAAGGAAATACAGTATTTGACAAATCTGTGTGTGTGCGCGCGCACACACACACACACCCCAAACCCAGTAGCAAGAAATATGCCAGGAACAGGAAATTCAGGGAGTTTTAGAAGCCAGCGAGAGGAAAGAAACAAAGTTTGCACATCGCGAGTCAATTCATTCTCTGCAAGCCTTACCTCGCTTTCTTTCTAGCAAAGATCCAGGCTTCTGCAAGCAGCACTCTCCCTCCGGGGTTCCATGGACAGGGTAGGGAGGGGGTGACCTCTGGTCTCCCCAGTGAGCAGCCACGCTAGAGATGCCGGCTTGCTCTCCTGCCTTTTTTTTTTGCAGCGGCCCGGGAGCGGGCCGGTCTCCTCCGCCGGCCCTCCCGCCGGGAAGGACCTCAGGTTCCTGGAAGCAAATGCTGCGGGGGGAGGGGCGGGTGCGCCTCCGGTCCTGCTCTCCTCGGAAGGATGGTTCCCCAGGAAGTTCGCGCCTTCCCCCTCGAGCCCCAGCTCGGATGGTCTCAACGGCGGAGCTTTCCTAAGAAAACGCTTGTCATGGCAACAGCTTCGGCCAACTCGGACCGACTCCAGTCCGCCCGCCCGCCCGCTCTCCCCAGCGGCGCGGGAGGAGAAGGGGCG